AGTTTTAGTGGCTTAATATACTTTCTTTAAAAGAACAGTGACAATGATTTCCTGAACAAGGGTGGACAGGGAGTCTACGAAAGGAACAACACAGAGAAGCAGCAGCAAAAGTAGGTTACAAGGCAGAAGGTGTACACTGAGCCTGGAGCTGTCAGTCAGGTAACAGAAATGATCTTTCAGCATCTAGCATAATAGAAGGTAGATTTTTCATCATCCATTTGATATTGCCACAATGGGTGTGAATACAAAACCATAATTTCTAGTATTTGCAAGACAGGAAAGTTAAGTAAAAGGGTGATTGCAGATAAAGTGATAGGGAGACATTTCCACGTTTATACAAAACTCATCCTGCTCTTCTTGCAATCAGGAGGACAGCATTATCCCAACCTTTTTCAAAGGAGGATTTTTGTTATTTAAAATTGTTTCGTACCTTATTAAAGAGTGTGAGACTCCTAATGCTAAGTTAAAGTGGGTAGAAGTATCTTACTCCCCTTGGTTAGTAGAATTTAATAGTTTAATAGACTTTTTATTTGTAAGAATGCTTAGCTCCAGTCCTGGAAGACAGTGAGAGCCATTAAGCTTCAAAAAAATCACAGGAAACACTCAAAACCTTGCCAAGAGTTTCCTTTCTTTGTTAAACTACAAAGACATAAGTGCTAAAAGTATTGTTCCTACTGGGTTTTAAGTGAAGTACCAATCTTTCAACTCTCAAAACGATCCCTCTGTTCCCATTGAAATATATGGAACAATTTGTGGGAAAACAGTGGGATTGCTCATGTGAATAACATGTACGTTCTCCAAAAAGTTATTCTTAGTGTTTTTCTAATAACACGGTATTGGAGCTTTATTTGAATGAGACTTGCTGTGACACGAGCGTGCTCAGAATCTCTGTAGCAGTGCTGTAGGTTACCTGATGTTTAGGTTTGTTGATTAGTGTGAAAGCCCCAGGCGTGGCGCGGGAAGGGTATAGCTAACAGGGCTCACGCAGCCAGGCCCAAGCCAAGGAAACGCCGAGCAAGGTCAGTTCAGTCCCACCAGGACTGTGGCAAGGCTCGCACAAGAGAAAGGGATTAATAGCCGGTTATCCTTGCCTCAGTTAGCTGCCTACATTGCTTCATTTTGGGAATGGATGAGCACTTCACAGGGGGAGCGGGTTAGGGTAGACGATGAGGAAGTGGGTACCACCAGCTTTTTATTTAAAATTTTACCTCTCTTCTATTCAGGATGTGGGTGACCAAAGTCAGGTCGCTCCCCTTCCGTGGGCGTTCACAATTACACTGCCCTGTGGAGCAGAGGCGGTGAGACAGGATGACCCTACACGCTGCTTCCTCCTTCCCCGCCGTCGCAGCACTCCGCAGGAAGGAGCGAAGCCGTCGTGATTTCCTAGGGCAGAGGAGCACGAGGGAGCCTCTCATTTATAAAGCAGATCTGGTGGTGAGGGACATGCCTCGCAGAAAACAGCTGTGGGTGTTGACCCCTGCACTGTGGATCATTTTTGATACTTCATTTGGTGGCAATTAACACAAAGCTTTAAGCAGGGACTTCAGAAGAGACTGCAGTTTCTTCCATAACAGCACTTTAAACAGGGGGGCTCCAGAACCACGTTCTTTCTTTGGCCCTGTAAGATCTTTTCTGCGCAGTGGTGAATGTGCATTATTAATGAAAGCATTTGTCCCTGACATCATGCTCCCAAGGCATCTTTAGGTCTGCCCAGGCACGATGGGTCAGGCCTGGGGGCAACCTGGCGCTCGGGCACAGGGGGCTTCAGTCAGGGTCTGGGCTAGAAATCTGACTACAGCATCCTCCAGATTGTCTTCTGGAGTTCATGGCATCACTTCAAGGATAAATAAATCCTTCCTTTGGTCTGGAAGTGCCTGGAATTAGTTGTCTGAGGGGTTTCCTAGTTGGCAGGGTATTTTCAAAGTGAAGAACTCTGGAGCTTAAGGCACTCAAGATCCTCAGGTGCACATGCTGCCTGGCAGAGTTTTCTCATGAGAAGTAAGGGCTGTGGGGTGAAGCATTTTGATATGAACAGACCTGAACCTGGATCTTCTGCTTCTAAATTTTTTCTATAGCCACTAGACAAAAGCAGATTCATCTGCTCCTTCACCCACCCTGTCTGCCTTGGCATCAGAGCTAGCCTCTCAGCGAGTTTCATTCCTGCTTAGTTTGCAATCTGAAACTTCCTTTAGGCAAGAAACAGGTGCCAGTGACTTGATCACAACTACATCACCTCTGGGCATGCACAGTAACAAGAATTTTGTCTCCTTAGGTTTTGTAGTGAAACTGCCAAAGTATAATTTCTGTGTAGAAGGAAGTGGACACAGAAGTCCTTTTATGAATCTTAGAGGGACTGTTTCTTTTTTACAGCGCAAAAAGGCCAGCTGAACAGAAAGGGAAATAAGAGAAGCTTGTGGAGCACATTCTGTGAACAAATGGGAATACAAGCATACCCTAAAATACAAACATACCGTAAAATTCACTGAGTAGGTGCCCAAAGATCCAAAATCCAATGCTTCTGATTCTTTCCATAACTATTATTAGCTCTGTTATCTAACAGTGTGTAAAACTGGTAGGTTAAAACTGAAATGAAGGATCCCACCCCTCCAAACAACAAAGTGAAGATCAACTTCTGATTGCACTTCTGGGGAGCACAAAGTGCTCGTGTGCTTATTACATTTGGTGTTTCTCATTTAACCATGAGTTAATTTAGTGTGGCCTTAAAAATGAAGAATATGCTCTGGAATGTGTTTTTCTGAGCTGCTCATAAGCAAAGGTTTTGTTTTTAACCATGGCTTACCATTGGTGATTGTTTCATGGGAAAGATTTAATGATACCATCTTAGTACTATTAACCTGATATTGCTCATTAAGAAATGAAAATAAGCATTCCAAACCCATATTTTATCATGTGTTGATATGGACAGTCTTTCAACTGGTGGCTAATATATCTAACTTTCCATGTCTGTTTACAATTTCAGGAGCACGGAAGTCATGAGTACTGTCTCAGGTACACGAAGTACAACAATCACTTTTACTGTCCGACCTGGAACCAGCCAGCCGATCACACTGCAGAGCAGGTCCCCAGACTATGACAGTAGGACCTCAGGAGCAAGACATGCTCCAAGCCCTGTGGTTTCACCAACAGAGATTAATAAAGACATCATGCCTGCTCCTCTGACTGCTTCTGCTTCAGCTTCATCTCCTTCTCCAACTTTGTCCGATGTATTTAGCCTACCCAGCCAGCCCCCTTCTGGGGACTTATTTGGCTTGACCACAGGGCGCAGCAGGTCTCCTTCTCCCTCAATATTACAACAGCCAATCTCAAATAAGCCTTTTACAACTAAGCCTGTCCACCTGTGGACTAAACCAGATGTGGCAGATTGGTTGGAAAGTCTAAACTTAGGTGAACATAAAGAAACATTTATGGACAATGAAATAGATGGCACTCATTTACCAAATCTACAAAAGGAAGATCTGATAGACCTTGGAGTGACTAGAGTTGGGCACAGAATGAACATAGAAAGAGCTTTGAAACAGCTGCTGGACAGATAAGAATAGCTATTTTGCCTCACAAACTTCTGTTGATAACTAGAGATGGGCTGGTACTGAAATACCCCAAATGCCTTGTCTGTCTGCGAGTGCCAGCAAAATTGGGGGGTGGGGAGGGGGAAAACAGTTTAATTCCTGGTACTCAGGTAATGCAGACTGTATGCTACATGCCCAAACATAAATCTAAATAAGTTACACGAGTGGGGCCATTTTATTTCAAAGTTGTGGGGAGATTTGAGAGAGAGAGAGAAAATTGTTAACTTCAAAAATACGATCTCTTGATAATGCCCTTCTGCTGGAACCATTACACACCACTTTTCTTTCAACTTAGAATCGTAAGCATTTCACTTTTTTATTGAAAAATGCTATATTCTCTTCTTGACATTCAGTCTCTGAGCAGGCTTCCTTCCACCGCCGTTAGTTCATTTTAAGAGGACAGATTGCTCAATTACCATTCAAGCCCATTTTTATTAGTAGCAGAGGCACAATATTAAGACGACAGGTACAGGAGTTCATATTACTCTTTTTTTACTAGTTTAGCGCTCTGATTTGTTGGCAGTGAAGCTGGTTGTTCTGCTGGAATTAGTTCAAAGGTAACCTTGCTCTGTTTTACCTGGTATTTCTTTATTTCTGCAGTTATACTTAGCACTCTTCCAAGGTGGCAGAACAAGTTCAATACATGCTCCATTGACTTGACCTGTAAGACGATGCAGACGTTGCATAAAAGCTGAGGAGGAATGCACACTTAGAGGTACAACAAAATGAAGCTAGTTTGAACCTGAGACCCCCAGTTTTCAACCAGCTAAACTACTGCTAAGTCACAATATGAACTCTACAAGCCAGTAAAAATTTGGGGTTATGTACAGAGGCATCTTTTGGACTTCACAGTCAGATACTCAAATATACTGAACCCTGAGAGATGCTGTTTAATTCAGTGAGCGGTAGGTGCCTAGCTATTTTGAACATCGGGCCAAGAAAGAATAAAAAGATAGATGGCTGTTCCCATTGAAGTCAGTGGGAAGGCTGCCATTATTTTAAGCGAGAAGGATTTCAGCCTGTTAGCAGAAATGGAAATGTTTCAGCTTGTTAAGGAAGGTAAAAGGTAATGCCAAGATGGAAAGAGGTTTAGAGTGTCTCGGAATGCATGTGTTCCAAGGGCCAGGAGAACTGGGGAGGTATCCAGTTTCTCATTTTTATCACTGTTAACAGGTACTGGCTTCTTGACAGGACAGCAGACTGGGCAGCTGAGGGGGGCTGGCCGCTGCCGCCGGCCCCCGGCGATTTCTGTGCCCGGCTGGTGGGGCGGCGGCAGGGGAGGCGCGGGGCGGGCACCCCGCTGGGCACCGGGGCGCGCCAGCTCTCCGGGAGACTTCGCGCAGCAGGGGAGAAACACACGGATTTGCTTAATCTGACTTTTTTTTTTTTTGTTCCTTTTTTTTTTTTAAAAAAAAAAAAAGTTAACAAATCTCTCTCTGCATGTTTGAACTCCCCTTGTAATTAACACCTCTTAATATCTGTGAGTTTTGTAGGTCTTTATTGACATAATATTCAAGATGTTCAAGGTGGGTAAATTGTGTATGGATGGCTAGACTGCCTACCTACCATACTTTCAGGTTCCCTTACATTTTGTAAGGTACCTGAATTTTCTTTCCTTGATATGGTCCAGCCTATCTCTAATTTTTTTATTGTGATTATTTTTGCTCACAAACAAGTGTCTAATTAGGTCTGCAACAGCCCTAGTATGAGTACATAAAGTTTAGCATTTTAAATATCTTTCTTTACTGCAAGTTTAAATAGTTGTACAGATAGTTTATAAGCACAATATTTTAAGAAAAATAAGTGGCTGGTCTACTGGGCAGCCTTTGTGCCACTTCAGTGCTAGAAAGTTAAAAACAAAAAAAAAAAAAAAAACTTTTGTGGTTTACTACTATTTCTGTGGAATAATTATAAAGTCTTGACCTTTTTAAAATCAACCTCATTTGGATGCATCTGAACCAGCAGAGCTGTGTTATATTTTCTATCTTTGCTAGAACTTCTACAAAGGAGGATGAATATTTCTTCAAAAGTGGTTATAGTTACCAACGCATTGGATACTCATAAAAAGCAACTTACTTAGCCTCCTGCCCCCTTTATGGAACAGCAAATCTTTTGACTTAACATCTGTTACTACGCTATATTTGTATTTGAAAGTTCCAAGTAACCTTGTAATAAAAATCAAGTACTAAGGCATTTTACTGTCAAGAGTACTGAATTTTTCCATAGGTGTTGTAGACAATGGCAGTTTCATTCAGATAGTCGATACAGGCAACTTGAGGCCATCGAATACTTTAAGAAGTGTAAAAATGGTAATTTAGCCATCATTGTCTTCCATTTGGTGATACGACAGAATTCAGTAAATAAACCACTAATGCCATGCTCTTTTTTTTTGTTTCTTTGGGTACAGTTGATATTACCTCTATAACATGTGCCAGAAAATACATTAGAAAATATGGTAGAAAAAGAAAATGTAGAAGTTGACTTTTAAGCTGCTTTTTAATCACAACCTTCTTGTTGAATTTACGTTGAACAAGTGCTGACATACACGGTAAATTACAGGTGACAGTAATCCCTTTCTTACACAGGTGTGTTTCTTGCTCGTGTATCTTTTCAGGTACTGAAAGACTAGGTACAATACAATTAGTAGAAAAGAGGTTTAACACATTAAAGAGCTAATGAAATAGTTTATTTTTTACATTGTGTCTTACAAAGTAAAGGTAAGGAGACCTGAGAGGACCTACTTTCACCAATAAAATACACCTCTGCCAAGATGAATTGGTCTCTAGCTCTGTGTGATGATTTTGCTACAGAAAGCAATAGTAACAGATACGACGTTGCCTCCGAGTATTTTCATCGGTCTGGAAATGTTGGGGGGAGGAAAGAAGACCCATTTCTTTCATGCTACTATGATAGTGAAAAACAAGTTGTTAGAGATCTATGAAATACGTTATGATATTCTGGGTTTTAGGATCAACTTTTGTTTATATACTGTAATTTAAATAAATTGCATTTACATGCCTAGTTTCTGTAATATTTGTGTATACAATACCAAAATCTTACAAGATGTAAATTGTGTATAACTGCACAGACTCCTTTCCCTAGGTGTCTGAGAACATTTTAAGTTGAATTCATATATTATAAAATGACTAGATGTGACTGTTGATTTACAGAATTTACATATCACAAAAGGTAATTATTTGTGGTACTTAAGTTAATAAAAATAGTGATTTTTTTTTTTTTCCTCAGTTCTTAAAAAGCATTACCCAGTTGATCTGGCGATGATTATGTGTATGAGCCACAAATATTGATAATTTTTCCATTACGTTTTTTCTTTTCTTTTCTAGATATTAATATGTTTCTCGCTATAGTTTGTGTAACAACTTGTGTTCACGTTATCTATGTTGCTGTAATTTTTGTGCTTTAATTCCTCTTATTTCAACTGATTAAAAAATCAAGCTCCTGTAACTTGCACTTTTCCCCAATCCTTAATACTCTTGTATGGCAACCAAAATTACTGTAAGAAATAAATATAATATTGCACTAAGGTTGTGGTTCTGATTGCAAACAGAGAACACTGTCTGAATTTTTATTACAAAAAAAAAAAAAAGTTGCCAAAAAAACTTGCAATCTGATGTTACTGAAGGCGCATAAAATGCTTTAACAAAATGTAGATAGAATTAAGGCATAATAATTGATTTATTGTTGGGAAAACCATTTCCTTTTTATTTCTTCTTTTTGGTTAAAGCATTCTTTATGCCAAACATTAGTTCATTTACTGAATTCCAGATTCATGTTTGAAATTTGAGAAGTAAAATTTTTCAGCAAGAGGTAGGAAAATACGTATCTATTTGCCTTAAGGTGGATTTGAATTAATCACTGAACTGTTTTTTTTCTTGGCTGAGCGTGTGTGTGGGAATGCATGCTCTTATCTTAGTACTTCTGCTCGCATAAGGCACTCGATCCTGGATCTGTTCTGCAATTTAATAAAGCACTGAAAAGTTTGGGGGGGAGATGGAGCTTTGTAGGGCAGAGCAGCTTTACAAAGGAGAAAAAGAAACAGTGCTCCTTATCAGACTTTGTGCATCTTGTGACTAAAATATGTACCAGCAGGGTATATTTGTACTGTGAATAAACAAAGCTTAAAATGGAAAAAAATAAGGAAACAATTCACATTTCTTTTGGCTTAATCTAAAAATTTGTTTTTCTATCTTTAAATGGTGGTGCAATGAAGAATATTTTTTATTTTTATTTTCTAAGATATTGGAATAAATGCCTAGAACTGTTGCCATTTGGTTTCATATGTTCCTTAACTATTATTCTCTTCTCAGATGTCGTTCTAGTTCATCATTTTTGTACTTACCTATTATTTCTCTCATGTTTTTCCAACAACAATTACTTGGCAGCTTTGTTTTGTTGAAAAAGATAGAAGAGAAAACAGCTTTTTTTTTATTTCAGGTATTGTGGCAATCCAGTGATTAACATCTCTAGCTAAATAAAGACAGGTATTTACAGTGCAAAAACCAAGAATGCTTTGCAATTGTCAATGCATAGTTGGTCGAAGAAATGAGAAGATTTGATCTTTGCTGTTGTAGTGTACATTGTACCAATGTGTTGTGTTTTGTTTTGTCCTTGGTTTTCTGTATTTTTCTGTATTTTTTCTGCATTTCGTGGTCTTTCATTCCTCTTGTCCAAAACCATGAAAAAAAGTCAGTAGCTATGACGGGCCATTCAATATAGCACGATTGTAACAATATTTCAGAATACGTGGTTTAAAAAAAAAAAATGTACGTGCCTTATAATTTTCAACCTGGATCAACTACACTGTATTTAACATAAAGAGCTTTATCGTCAAGGTATTATAGTACCTGACAAAAAGAGGTTGTAGTGCTGTTTTTTGAAGTGAGAAGTCCATGTCGCTGCATTAGGAAAAATGGTTAGTAAAACTGAAATTATTTACATCTTATTTCAAAACATTTTCAGCATTATGAAACTGATTTGAAGTCCTCTATTCAAATCAAGTAAATGAGGGGGAAAAAAGTGAAACGAGACTGTTATTTTGCGTTCAGTTTACTACCATAAATACTTGTTTGGTAATTCGTGTAGTTGACATGTACTGTATTTCACAGACAAGGTAACAATAATAAACCAAGTGGACTTAATGCTTTTAAGTCTGAAACAAACTGGTTCTATAACGCTGACATCTAGTGGAATTTGATGGATGTAGTCTCAGAGCAATAGAAGATCTTTTAAAATATGTATTTATTTTAAACAGTTGTCATTCTTTCTACAAGAAGTCATTTTAGCAAATTTTTTATTATTGTAAGTTGGCCTGAATATTTAAGTCATAAAAAAAAAGGCTAACTGTATAATTACACAAATTATACACTGAATGAGAAATCTTTAAAGCACTGTAATGTGTTTTCTAATTTATACGTGGTTATGTTTTATCAATTTTATGTTTTGAGTGTTAGCATCTCCATATGATCCTTCATCTGCATCAAGCATGTTTTTTAATGAGAATATAGTTTTTGTCTCCAGTGCTGCAAATCTCGGACTGTTTTGAAGAATTTCAAACATTGAAATCTGATGAACAGCAGATATTTCAGATCCAAACTGCAAAAGAGTGCAAGATATTTAGTTTAGGAATTAGTTCAGAATAGCTGGTGGGTTATTTCCCTGATGTACTTGCAGAACTGAAGTTTGGTTTCTCAAGTAAAATTTAAGTTTTTCCTCAGGACTAATGCTAGAAGGAATACGTGCACGTGTGTGTGAGTTCTTGTATGCTTTTAATGTAAAGGTTCTCAGACAGCATTAGAAATTAATGTACAAATAGGACACCAGTGTTGCATGTGCTTAAAAATGTATTGGAATAAATGTTGCAGTGTACCTTTTTGCTTTGAAAATCTGAAGAGAATACAATATACAGAAATCTCAAAATGTAATTCATGTTTTAATGGGTTATTTTCCACTGATGTTTTTGCAATATTTAATTGTCTCTAATTTCCTAGCTTCCTTACTTACTTAAAAGCAATTTAAAGCAATTTCTTGTAACTTCTGAAAAAAGGCCTTGGAAGAGCTGAAACTGAGGTTTGGGGGAGAGGAGATAAAACTCTCTGCTGCACAGCCTCTGACACCTTTGATTCATTTTCCTTAAGGATGTTGTTCTTCAAAACAAATCCAGAGGGAAGCGTTGCCTCATTACCATGATGTAAGGAATTCACAGCTCCCTAAGCAGGCCCTCAGTTGTCCAGAATGAATTTTGAGCCCGGCCAAGTGTGGTACTTCCTACCTGCCCCCTTCAAAACATTTAGTGAGGGTTTGGATTTAAAGTCAAACAACAAAACTACATTTTGTTCTGACCTAGTTGGTGCATCTTGAGGTCTCATCGAAGCTGGTATCAGACCTTTTAGGCTGTGCAGTGGGGAAGTCAAGGTGAGAGCTCTGAGTCTCTCATTAAAGTAGGACAGATAGAAAGGCAGCTGAGACAGAACCTGAAGTGTCAGTTACTGATTAGTCCACATGCAGTGTTGAAAAAATGAACAAAAATAACTTCTTTTATATCTGGACACAGTCAAATTTGAGCTCTGTGTCTAATTGTGCAAAAAAATACAATTGTGATTAGAAATTTATTTTTTACTTCAAGCCATGCTGGATTCCTTGTTCTCCATTTGCTCTAGCTGTCTCAGCAATTTTCTTTCTTTACAAAGCAATGGATGTTAGTTTTAAGGTGTGCAGTATTCTGTAGGGCTTTTTAATTCACCTGTGAGATTTTACTGTGACCCAGTAACAGATTACATGCTGTACATTTTTACTGGAGGTTATTTGGAATCTCTAATAATGCTATTTTTCCACATTAGAGATCTGAAACAAGAGTAGTTGACTTCCAGAAGATACTTTGCAATTTTTAGAAAATGAATTATCTTTCAGAGAAAAATTCTTCACGTGCTATGTGTATTCAAGGCAGATCATTCACACCTCTTGCCTTTCAGTCTATCATTCCTGCACGTGTCCTCACTCAGATGGGTGTTCTCATTCCACCTTGGTAGTGCTAGGCAAGCTTCAACCCTTTAAAGAAGGGTCACTAATACCAGACTTAGTACTGTGTGTATTATTGACTGTTTGTACTGATGACAAGGCTGGTTTATTTGTAGGGAAGATCAATATTGCATTTTATACACTTGAAAGATCAGTGCAATGGAAACAGGGAAGATTTGCTTGTACAAAATGCACCTAGCAGAAAATCTCACCACGAGGCACTAAGCTGTTGGAGGTGACAGAAAGCAAGAGAAAATTTTGTCTTGATGAAGCCATGCACAATGCATAGCCATGAAAAAGGCAAGGCATTTTCAAGAAGAAATAAGGACCTATTAATGTGAGTGGGCTGAAGGGCGTTCGCAGGAGCTCATCTGCAACGGGTACAATCAGGATAGGTGTGGGAAACAGCTGCGAGCGAGATGCTGTGAGTGGGGGCTTACAGCAGGTTTTAAAGTGACTCGGTCTATTTAACCAAGCAAATAGAAGGCTGAAAGGAGCTGTCTGCTTTTCCCACTCACATGAGTGGGTGAACAGCCAGAAGAGGGATTTTAACTAAAAGGAATGTCGGCGCTAGAAGAACATGTTACCAGTTGGCAATGAATAAATTCAAATTGAAAACTGGGAGAAAGTCCTAGCTGTGAGAAGAGTGGGGCTGCAGTGTAGTCTCCTACAAGGAGTAGCGTGGGAATTCACAACCCCAGGCACTGAAAGTTCATAAATTGAGGAGAATTCCTGTGTTTGTTTCTTACAGCATGCAGTTTACGCCAGGGCACCTTCTGTGCAAATTGTTCTGCTGAAGCCACGGGCTGGGCTGGGAAAAAGAGGCTGGTGGGAGCCCAGCCTACCCTGGGGATAAGCCCCCATGGTTGGGAAGACGGATGGAAGCTCCAGGCCAGCGTTTGCCCACCAGATTGAGGCACTGGGGGTGTGTGACAAGGGGTGGCACTGTCCCCGTGAAGCCCTGAGTTTGTAGGAGAGGCTGCAAAGGTTCACAGGATGAGGCTCATCCATCAGAGAGCAGGGCGGGATGCGAGGGATTGGCAGCTGGGAAGCCCAGCTCTCACAGGTCACTACAGCTGCTGCAGAAAGTGGTTATGTATTTTACATTAAAAAATAATAATTAGATTAATACAGAAGCACTAGATGAAGCACTGGAGCAGAGAAACAAAGCCTAAGAGGTGAAAACCTAATGGTAGGCTGCAGCATTAATACATTTCAGGGGAGAGGGGCTGTGTACTGGCAACAGTTTGTTCAGGAAAGATAAAATCCTGCCACCTCTGCATGGCAGAGCATCCTCTTGTTAGCATAAAAGTGTTTGAGCTGCTGCTCATTAGGGATTAAATTCAAGATTATGTAAGCCAGGGACTAAGCATCTAGCCCTGATGTTGCTGTTGGTAAGTGCTGTACCAGTTACTCCTCACCTTCACTTTTTGTGTGTTTTCATGGGTTGTTTTGTTCTTTTATTAAAAAAATAAATAAAATTACTAAAGACATTGTCTTGAGCTTGGCATCACTCACAGCCTGTCCCCTGCAGCTGGGAGTTTTTATGTGTATTATATCACAGCTGACATCATATCCTAGATCTCTATAAAAAAAAGCCAGGAAAGCAAACACCAGGTTTTATATTACCCAAATTAAAGTGAAACAAATTTAAGTTATTGACAGATTTTGTTAGGCAGCTCTGTGGCCGTGCCGCCGTTCTCGCACGTCCCGCTGTGACAGAGTGAGGCACTATCGGGACGGAGTGAGGGTGCAGTAACCCCCTCACCCAGGGGAGGGGAGGGGACCCCCGGGAGGCGCATCGGGGTGCATGGCCACAGCTGCACCCAGGTGGATGATGCACAGTGCTGCTGCCGCTGTTGTGCTAAAGCACCCGAGCGAGCCAGCCTCCCTGCACGCTGTATTTCACCGTAGGTGGAAGGTACTGACATTCAAAGCGATGGGCTGGCATCTGGTGAGGCCTGACCCACCTCAAATTCCTTTAGAAGCATCCTGCTAACAAGAACACAAATGATGGCAAACAAAGGCACCTTGCCACCAGTCAGAGGCATTTCAGCCTCCCCCAGTTCACTGACGGGTTGTTGTCTGGGCATGGGGCTTCTGAAAGAGAAGGACCAGGAGGTGAGATGGTTTTCACCTCTGTGTTGGGAAGAGCTGGGGTCAGAGCTCAGGGGCTGGAAGTCTCATTCCCTTCCTCACACTGTTTAAAGGTAAAGATTTTAAATTTCAGCCTATTTTGCTTTAATATTGTTGCTTGTTTTTTTTTTTTTTTCTCTTCCTCCAAGCTGTCTGGTGCTAGGTCATGTCATCCCCCTTTCTCCTTCACCAGAGAATAGAAGTTATCAGGGCAAATACTAGGGTTGGGTTTTTAGTTCAGTTGGTATGCAAGGTTAGCATAAAACTTGTAGAAATTTCTATAAGGCCCGAAAGCTTAATTTTTAGCAAAGCACATTAATTTTCATATTTTTTTCAACCATTAAATAACAGATGAAGGAATCTGTCTAACCAGAGGATGCTCCATCAGATGGGAAATACCCTGCCTATTTAACCACAATAACAAATCTTACGAAGAATGGCTTTCAGAGATTTGAAATGCAAAAAACAATAAAGGGTTACCCTAAAGAGAAGAGGAATTAGCTATTAATAACATCAATGTTGCCGTCCAGTTGGATTATGACAGTATTTTATTATATTTGCTCACTTACAGTACTGAGAGCACAAGTTTTATCTAATTATTTGAGATTCTTGGGTTTATTGTGGGTTTTATCCCTGAACTGTAAAGGGAGGCTCGCAGAAAACCTCCCACAAAAATAAAACCAACTCATTCTGGGTTGTTTGGGGGTTAAATCTAAGAACTGTTGAACATTTGGGGTTGTAACACTGCCTTATGCAGAGCAAAGAGGAAAACCAGCCCCGTTAGTAGTCTCAGTGCTCCTTGAGATCCTCTACTGGTAAATTTGGGTTGAGAAGAACTGGCAGGACGTTGCACGATGGAGAAGAGGCAAGTGCTGGCTTGCTTGGTAACATTTTTCTACAGTGCAGTAAGAGTGATGGTGCATCAAGACTATCCAGAGATCTAAGTAACATTTTCAGAAGCACCTGAATGCGTTTGTCACCTAGGCCAGGATTTACAGGGGAAGTCAGGCAAGCAAAGATGTAGGCAGGTAGCTGACAGTTGCTTACATTAATGAAAAGTGGAAGCCCTCAAAAAGGAAAACCATCCTGTCATTAGCTGGTCAGCTATCACTAGTCTTTTTTCACTCAGAACAGTTTCTTTTTTTTGACTAATCTCTTGTTCTTCTTGGATAGATGATATTCCTTATTTTTCTTCTAGTGCTTTCTACTTCAAATTAAATATTTTTCCATGATTGCTTCCCACCAAAACTTAAAAAACAAACACATTTGATCTGCCTAAGTGAAATATTCTGGGCACAAATCAAAACCATTTCATATTCAGGAAAAGTAATACGTATTCTAGGTGGTAAAACACAGTGGAATGGTACTACTAGCAGATGATCTGTTTTTTTTTTTTGTTTTTTTTTTTTTTTTAAATGAAACAAACAACATCCATAGAGTTCCATGTATTAGCTAATGTCAATGATACACATAAGTGACTGGAGAACTCTCCTGAGCCCCGCCGGGTGAGTCGTTCCACGGCTACAGAGCTAAAGCCCGAGCACACAGTCCTTCCTCCTGCTCCTCTGCTTAACACTTATGGGGGAAACAGGAGAACTGCTCTAAGGAGCAGGAGGGAAAAATGGCAAGTGTGTAGAGGTAGATGCTACACACAGTATATGTTGTGTAGAGTGATGGCTCAAATTGCTGTCTAGACCGGGAGTGTTGGAGCTGTAGCCAAGCTTTGTTAGGTGTAAACCCCTACTGCTGCTTTTTTTCATGGGTGCATGTACATTGCTGAAATCCTGACTTCAATTACAATTTGTCTTTTTAAATTACTACCTAGGCTAGTAGGTACTGCCCCAACCTATATTTTGGAGATCTTAATTTAGTAAGGGTTGGATATTTGTACTGTCATATACACCTACCTATTAAAATCAGAGACAAATGTGAGCACAACAGTGTCTATGCAATAGGGCTAATAAAGGACAGGATTTAATCAACTATTTCTAATATGTTTAGAGTCCTTCAATATAAATAGCATTTTCATTATAATATGGATACTTACAACTTCAATGTAAGAACATTTGACTTCGGAGCTGTTTGTAGTTTTCAACTAGAAAAGCCAAAGGCCAAAACTAACATCTAAGTTTTACTGAAGGAGAAGGTTATTCAAGTGCAAATTAGCAGCAATGCAGTTTTAGAAGCAGTACACTCAGGTAGAACAAGCTCACTGGAGAATTCTTCCAGATTGCAATGGAAATAACATGCAATATTTAGTAGAGAAATATTGTTATAAACTTGGAATACTCCCAGACTGTATTTGAGTTCTTATATTGCTACATTAAGAAAGATTTTGATTGGCTTTGTTGACCACATTAAAGTTTCTTGCACTGTTGTGCAAATACAAGGGAGCCAGAGCCCCAAGAGGCTTAGTTAATTAGGATTTTTCTTAGCTGGCATAAATAGATGAATTCAGGGTAAGATGATATATGCAGTAGTTTATATTTTACCAGAAATGGTAATAGCACTCTGTGTGCCTGGGAATAATAATTGATCCTGAACTTCAGCATAAAGCTACTAACACTTATTAGGCTGGGATGTGTGTAGGTCAGTGTCCAGGGCTGTTGGACACAGATAAACACGTATGTTAACTAATAGCAATATTAATAAATGTAAGAAGTAGTACAAATTTAAATGAGCACATAATTATCTAGTACTATATGGGTTAAATGAACATATGCTGCTGAAGAAAATTAGTAAGCAGGTGAGCTAGGGCATGGAACAGCATGCTTAAGGAGAAGCTGGCCAACAGACCTGAGAAATGTTGCCTGGGGACAGAACTACTCTCTCCTGCTCTCTCAGTAGGGCAGGCAAGGGAATATTCGCTGATCTTGCAATATAAAAGTGCTTACCTTTGTTTTAGTAAGAGAAGGTTACTTGGCTCTTCTTGGTTTCTGCCATGAAATATGGGAGCTCCAGTAATTGTTGTTGAGAGGATGAATCTACCCATGAAACAAAGGGCTGCTCCTTGGCTCTGGCCCTGCTCTGGGTCTGGCAGTTAGCAGCTCCCTTTCTTCCAAAGCTTCAGCAAATGTCAATTCCTGTCCAAGATTCAACAAAACACCTGACAGAATTGTAAGAATGTCTTTGTACTTCTGCTGACCTACCTGGTGTTTAGTTTGTCATATGTTTTGTCTTTCAAAGAAAGCCCAATAATTACTGGTGCTAGGAATGTGCATTGTAGGCTTTATTCCAGAAAACAGAGACCTTTTAATTTAAGATCTTTTACATTAAATGCCAGTCTGTGGACCATCCTTAAAGTCAACATGACATCATTTGTCATAGATCACTGTGGATCTCAATATGATCCAAAATATTCTCTGAGACATCAACTACAAGGTTGGCCAAAAGCATTCATGAAAAATCAAATTGAATAGTCACAGGTAGAACTGGCTTGCCTGACTTTTCTCTCACAGTGATATTACCCAGCAATGGTCCACCCATCCTAAAACAGGGACGCTGCTAGCTGTTACAGTGCTACCCAGGGACTCTGCCCCCTGCTAGCTGCCAGCACTGTTGGTCTAAATCATATTTGCATTGTGGTCTTACCTTGCCAAGGAAGGACACTGCAGCACAGGCACGGCCAGGAGCTCCCAGAAAGGACGGCAATGATTCAGCACAGCACATGCTGGGCAAACAACGCTCAAGTGTAATACCACTCTCAATATCACTCTCCTTTATTTTACCAAAAGTAGGAGATGTGAAATCAGAAACTACAGCTACTGTGAGAGGAAACTGGCATGCGGAGGGATGCACAGAGGACTGTGTTTATCAACTGGAGCTTTCTTCTGATCACAGTGTGAAAACTGGGAGGACAACTGGCAAGAGAAATGCAGTTTAAAGCAGTCACCCAAACAGCTGTAAGAGCATCTGCGTTTACCATGAGCATTTTCAACACAAAAATGCCCTGTGTGAGCAGATATAACTAAGCATCCAGAGAAGCCCGATGACTTAAAGAAGGAAACGGATCAAACAAATTATTAAATGTTGTGCTTTAAGTGCCCAGGCACAGCAGCAATGCCAGGAGGTGAGATGGTAACTCCCTGATAGCAAAGGAGAGCCAGAGCTGACCATCCGGACATGGCTTGCAGGTACGGCACACGTAGCACCCGTGGCAGCAGCCAGATGGTGGGGAAAGGGAGGAGGCAGTGAATAGCAGGGTGGTGTTGTGCACACCCTCACTGGCAAAAAATATCACCTCAAAGGACATCAGGCGCATGGCACCAGGCAGCAGGGATGATGAAAAGATAACGGCAAGTTTGTGCTAAGGCAAACAAAATGGATTTTGATGCAATTTAGGTTGTCTCTTACACTGTTGCACCCAAGCAAAATTTTATGCACAGTCCAAGAGCTATACTGTTTTCCAAGCTGAACAATCTGAAGGCTGCTAGCACGAGAAACCATGCTGTGACTGTAGGAGCAAATACTACTGCCTGTACTCTCATAAGGCAAGGAAGCATTGCCACAAGTTATGAAACACAGCCTGCATGGAGGACGGCACGGTCCTGCTCGTCACAGCACAGTAGCTCTGATGCCACTGAGTAAGCCAGCAGCTGTGGAGTAGTTTGTTCATGCAGTATTCCTGCTCAACTCGAACACTATCAATTACTCTATAGGGCTATAAAACTACCATGGACTCCTTTTAGGTTAGAGTCATCCTGTGAGGATAAGATTTTGAGCATTAATTCACCAAATGACATAACTTTCAAAATTTCTCAAACAGAGGAATGATGCGGGCGCAGCGTGGATGCTGGCGTCATACTTGCTCCTGCCCCAGTGCCTCCAGTGTGAGCTCCTACGTTTGACTGCTTCCTGGCCTGGTCTTTAATCACAGATGCTATTGAAGCAAAATATTTCTTTATTCAGTTGAAAAGTTCTAATAATTTTTCAAAGTCAGCTTTACTAGGCTCGAAACAGCGAAGAAAATTGCTATTAATAAAAACTATAAAGCTCTTTACCTGACATTTTCACAACTAGTCTGAGCAAAGGTATTATTGTTTAGCCTCTTTGGCCTCATTGCCAAAATGGGCAAGAAAGCAAACTGCATTCCTCTAAAGCTTTTGTAGGCATAGGCCTTACAAACCTTTTAAAAGAAAATAAGTAAGATTCCCAGCTCCTGACTTGGCATTAGCCTGAAGTTTATTCTTCACTTAGGAGTCTTCCTCTTGCAGTGAAGCCTGCCATCCAGACAATTTGTTAACCTCGTTTAGCTTTTAATTTTCAGTGTCTCTGACATCTTGTAATTTGCAGTACTCTGCACTGCTTCAAACACTTAGAACCCAGTATCTGGAATTCAATACTGAAAATGTTGACCTGCGAAGCCATGTGAGGCCAACTCTGAGGATCACCTTTTTTTTTACGGTGGGAATTTCACTGGAAGTTTAGGGTCAGCCAAAAAGGGTGTAGCCATCCCCTGGGCTTTGAGCTGAGCAGTAAGCACAGTTTGGAGGAGGACAAGGACACCAAATGCCACGCTTTGGCTCTTCAATTGTGATTTGGCCATCCCCCTTTGCTTGCAGGAAGAGAGGAGGTGAAGGCAGCTAAGTGCACAGCTGTGCCATCTTCTGCTTTTTGGAGCCTTTATGGAGCAGATCAGCACCATGCATCATCTGAAGGCTAACAAACCTGGTATTTTTAATTCTGAAGTGCCAGTGTCCCTTTTTAGGCAAGCGTATCCGTAGATGGCTGCCGTGTGAACAGCCAGCTTGGATGCAAGACGTAACCATTAGCTCCCGCTCCCCGCGGGCAGAGCCCCCGCTTCTCATTTTCAGTGGGCTTAGCTAATGGAAACAGCTGAAACAGCTAGATTTTTTTTTTCTTGGCTAATTAAACAACAGTAATTGTTAAATTAATCTTGCCTGACTCTGGTTTTGTGGTAAGCTGTACTAGACCACCATGCACCTCTCTTTAATACTCCCTTGCTGCCTGCAAGGCACTTTTCAGGCAGGTGAAGATGCATCACCCCTTTTCTGTCCGAGTTTCCCAGATTCTGGGATAAATACGTCAAGTAAAGCTATTTTGATCAATTCTAATTCCCTTTTTGGAATCCATCCAAGGCAGTATTTTGTACACTTAGCGTTGCACAGTCAAGATCGATTTTTGTTCTTTTCCTCTTTCCATGGACTAATATATCAATTTCCCTTTTGCCAACTAACTTTATAGCAGCGTCTGTAAATCACAGCAGAAGCAGCGTGCTCAACGTGAGGAGAATATGAGGAAGCTTCTTCAAATTTAGGAAAAACTAAACATGGTGTCTTTAGCATCCTGTTGATACTTAGATATGGACAAGCATGAAATTTCACGCCTACATCATTGCAGCCTAAATCCTGAAGACTCTGCATCCCTGTATAATGTAGAAAGCCTGCAGCAAGGCAAATACTAACTACATGAAATGGCAGCAGTTCTTGAACTTCATAGCATAAGGAATCAACTTGCTGGTTGGGTATTAAACATCCGTGGGTTGCGTTTTGAAAGCTCTTATTATAGGCTGAAGTCTCTTGGAAAATCATAGGTGGCTTTAAGTCTGCATTTGCAAAAGCATTCATCTAAAAGTAGGTTCTTCAGATAAATATCCTTGGTAACGAGCATTTACTCGATAGAAAAGGGACTTAAAAACTAGAATATGCTGAGATGATTGTGACTGGTGGCCTTCCAGGTTCAGAAAAAACTGCAGAGGACACACAGGCCACATGCAATATCATATTTTTACTGGTATGCATTTTATCTAAACCAAACCACCCCTACAGAGGAACTTCCCTGTGCTTCATTTTGTAATTACCCTGCCTCCTGCTTCCCTTCCTTAGCTAAAAGTCAAAAAAAATGTTACGTTGATTCTTGCTATTGAAAATGTAGTCAAAATTAACAAGTTGGTAATGGCCCATTGCACATAAAAACCTAGCAAAATAGTTGACAGCTTCAATGCTTTATATAAAATAAATCGGATGCAGGCACATTCTTCACCATCCTCTTAAGCCTTCCATCTGCGCAGACTAAAAATAAAGCAGCAGCTTAAGGAGAGGTTTGATAAAATGCATCTGAGAAATGCACCGGTAAAGCTCTGCCAGGCTCTTAAAAGGACTTTGAGATGCTAACCCTGTGCGCTGCAGAGAGGCCCTTCCTCATTCTCACTATTCAGCCAGCTTCTACACAACCTGCTCCAGGGGTAGGGTAACTCCATGGTGATGTCGCCTTAGCCCAGAGCTCTTTCTCCATGAGAACAAATTTGCTGCAAACTGGCAGGAAAGGCAGATCTATTTCAATTTATTCAGTGAGTAAAAGGAAGGCAATTAGCTACCTACAATTAACATGAGAAGATCCTCAGGCACAAAGTGGGACTAGCGTACATATGTAGGGAAATACCATCAGTTTGCATGACATGAAACTTTCCATCCACTCTCTACAGCCACTAGTGCCCTGCAGTGGGGGATTTCATGCAGATGCAGTTTCTGCCACACTAATGAGGGGATGCAAGACTGTCAAGGGTATCTCACGTCTCTGAGTATTTTTCTACCTCTCACCTAACCACTTTTCAAACTATGTCCTTCTCTCATTATTGTCGCTAGCAATTATTACAGAAATAGGCAAATGAAATATAAAATACTGTTCTTACTATGGGCTTAATTAAAATTAATTTAGAAGAATGACACTCAGAAGTGTAAAATCAATTTAGACAGTGAATAAAATCAGTGCTGCTGCTGCTGCCTTCCGTCAGCTGAAGCTCCAGCACACTTTGGAGTGACAACAGGATTGCATTAAGAAGCAACATGATGAATTCAAGGTGCCAGGAAAGTAAATGTCTCACCCAAAGTCAGAGAGTGAATCAGTGAGACATCCATTAACAGAGATTAATGGGCTTGCTCGCTGCTTGCATTAGTTACCCATGAGGAGGGCTGAGCCAGCCCTTCTGGTGGTAAATGCAGAGGTTGGGGTGGCTTTTTTCAGCAGCAAGTTTTAGGTAACTTGAGTAATTACTGCTGATGAATGAGTGATCTTAAAACTTCAAGACTGGACTACATCTAATCTCATAGTAGCCGTAGTACAGTCATAACACTGCTACCTAAATGTACTTGGCAAGATACTAAATCTAGTACAGAACATCTTGCCACACTGATAGGGAGATTAGTAGTTTAGAGATGAAACTTTCTCCATTAGGTGAGGCAATCCAGGAATAAGCTCCCAAGATTTAATACCCACAATATTGCTCATAGCGGTCACTAGTTTGTTCTTCCAGTAATTCAGCTCCTCCCCATCTTACTCTCTGACAAGGAGATGAACACAGGATTGCAGTATTTCCCCTACGATGCTGTTTATGAAGATTAACCACAGCAAGTTCACACATAGGCCACACACCAGCCCCCTCAAATCTGCTTTTAGCAGCGTAAAGATTTAGTAACCCCACCCTCCACCCCTCCTAGAGCAGAAAGCCTACCTGTACGTGCATGTTCTCTTCTGAAGTCCCGTGTTTTTTAAGTTATCTGCTAAAGCAACGGCTCTCACTCACTGTATTTTAGGACGTGTGGCAGTGAGCTCTGAAGCTCTGGATTTCATGTTAATATAGTAGCATTAAAGAGTGATTAGAAAAAGGGTGTTAAGATTTTCTTTCTTAGCATTTCCCACAGCGCATCGTCAAGTATTAGATTCTCAGAAAAGTTCAGGATTTGAAAGTGTAAAATACAGGCTTGCTCAGACAGCAAGGCAGGACCCCTTTCTGCAGCGGAGGCTTACAGGAGCAAAGCTTGGGATACACCTGACCTAAGGACCCCTGCC